ATATTATAAATAATATATATAAATATAAATATATATTATATATAATATATATAATATATAAATATATAAATATATATATTTATATTTATGTTTTATTTATAATATATTTATTTATTATACATAAAAGTTGCATGCAATGTATTGGTAACATTTATTTACCATACATAAAGGAAAAAGAAAGAAAACAAACCCTTATTATAATTTGTTTGTTGTTTGTCTATTAAAAGGGTCATTATTACCCATTAAAATAAAGATAATTAAATAAATTAATTAATTATTTAGTTTAATTTAATTAATAATGATAAAATAAGCAGAACAAACGCCATTTACTTTTTTTCTATGGCAGTCACCATCATCATGCTCGGGTGTATGTACACTACACCACACATACATTTTTTGTGTTTTTTTTGGCATTAAATAGGAATATTTAATAATATTTCTTTAATTATGAATAAATTATTTTAATTATTTATATTTAATTGGTTGTTTAATCATTTATTACCTCAATAATAAGAACAAGGCAGCAGCAGCAAGAGCAAGCCAGCCAGCCATATACACCGCAGCAGCGACAACAGCAGCAGCAGCAGCATATCTGCTGACATAATTTTATGTCTTTCTTTAATTTCTTTTTGCCAATTAATTTAAAATAAATTAATTTAAATATATTTTTATATTTAATTTATTATTTATTCTTTTTAGTTAAAAAATAAGTAATAAAAAAGAGAGGCAGCAACAGCAGCAACGTCACCGCCTACTACTCTACCACACAGAAAACAGACATCTGCTGCTGCTGCTGCTGCTGCTGCTGTTGTTGTTGTTGCTGTTGTTACAGTTTATTTTCTGTGTCTTTGTATATTATATATTATTTTTCTATAAATAATAAAAATATAAATATAAATAAATAAAAAAAAGAAGAAAAAGAACAAGATGGTAGTGGATACATCATCTGGGGGTGTCCAATCATCATCAGAAATGACTAGCAGCAGCAGCAGCAGCAGCAGCAATTGCTGCATAAATACCAGCAACAATAACAACAACAACAGCAGCAGCAGCTGCAGCAGCAGTAAATGGGTATCCGAAGGAGTAACACTTCCTTGTAGTATGTGTATATGTATAGTAGGAGGAGGGAACATAGCTGCTGCTGCTGCTGCTTGGTTAGCAAGAAAGGAGAAAGGATTATGTATTCATGTATTAACAAGACAGCCTAATAAATGGAGACAATTTATACGTATTAGGGCTAACCCTACATGTAGATGGAGCTCCTTACAGCCTTATGATGCTCATATACCCTTGTAAGTATCTCCTGCTGCTGCTCCTGCTGCTGCTGTTGCTGCTGCTGCTGCTGCTGTTGGGGTTGTGGTGTTATTTTGTTGGGGTTGCTTATAATAAGGGGGAAAGAGAGGAAGAAGAAGAAGTAGTAATAAGAGCAAAGAAAGGGGTATAAATATAAATAAATATATATGTATAATTATAATTCTTTTTTTCTTTAATTAAATTAATTAAATAATAAATAAATAAATAAATAAATAAATATATTTTCTTTTTTTCTTCTTTTTTTTTTCCTTTTTTTTTCTTATAAAGAATAACAGATGACCCTAAGAAGGCAATATCTAATGCAAGTATAATAGCAATTGCAGCCCCAGCGCATGTGCATGCACAATTATTACATAAAATTTCTCCTTTTATTAAACAAGGAGCTGTATTAGGTACTTTATTTGCTCAAGGTAAGGGTTTTAGGGTTTAGGGTTTAGGGTTTAGGGTTTGGGTGGTCGTTGGGGTCTGGTGTTGTTTGTTGTATTATTTATTATTATGAATGTTTTTGTTTATTTGTTTATTCTTTTTATTTATTATTTATTATTTATTGTTTATTTTATTTATTATTATTGTTCTTTTTTCTTTTTCTTTTCTTTGCTCCCATCCTTCTGTTGCACTGCATGCATCTAGACAGCCACTCCTTCTCCCTTCTTACCTTCAATCACCTGCTGCACTTGCTGCTGCTGCTGCTGTTGCTGCTGCTGCTGCTGCTTACAGGAGGGTTTGATTGGGCAGTAGAGAGTGTCTTAGGCGATTCACAAAGTCGTCTTAGTGCGATCTTTGGTCTTCAGCATGTTCCTTGGCTAGCTAGATGGGAGGTAAGCTGCTGTTGCTGCTGCTGCTGCTGCTGCTGCTGCTGTGGTAGTTGGTGACGGCTGATGGGCGGAAAGAAGCCTGTGTTGCATGCGTCTCTCGTTAGAGCGAATTATGGTGTATCTAGACACCGCCTTTTCTGCTGCTGCTGCTGCATCAACTGCTGCATCTGCTGCTGTTGCTGCTGTTTGTGTGTGGGATGTGCTGCTGCAGAAACACGGAGAGGCAGTAGAGCTAATAGGACCCAAAGAGTTTTTATGTGCTGCTGTCTCCCCTCCTTGTGCTCGCTCAATGGTGCAGCTGCTGCTGCAGTTTTGCTTCGATCAGCCATGCAAGTTGCTGCCTAACTTCTTATGTCTTACTCTTACTCCTAGTAATCAAATCATACATCCTGCTAGGTAATTAATTAATTAACTAGTAATTAATTAATTAATAGTACATGCAGATAAGAGAAAAGGAAAGAAAAAGATAAAGAAAAGGTCGATTGCATGCATATTTGATTTAATTCAAATTTCTTGCCGTTTCGTGCATGTGCAACTTGTACGCTTGTCCAGAGGGAGAAAGAAATTAAATTAGAGATACTTTTCCCCTTTAAATATATTTCCCTACTTTATTAAATTATTCTTCGTATTTTTTCTTTTTTCCGCAGATATTACTCTATATTTAAGGATTGGGATGGCACTCGTGTATACAAAGAGAGCGAAATATCTTGGGGTTTATACACAGAGTTTGATGAGGAAGCAGCAAAATATTTAGGTTTATTGGATAAAGAACTTCAATCAATTAAGAAAGCATTAACAGATAAATATCCTCAATTGGATTTAAGTACTGTTTTACCCATTCAAGAAAGAATTATTCAACAATATGGTAAGCAAGCTATAGAAAGGTGTACAACTTTCGGGTGTATAGGCAGCTCATAATCATGCATAATATAATACAGGAAACGTGCATTTGTTTGAATCATTATTTTAACTATTGAATACCTAATTTATGCGTTTTTTATTCTTTTTTGTTTCTCTGCGTTCTTCAGGTGATGATGTTAAAGATCGCAGCAACTTACAAATGGTGGTTTCCTCCAACAGAGGATACGCTTCTTGCAGGACTCCCGCCATTGCCGTCGGAGGTAATTTTGCGTAGATTTATGATTCTTATATAATTTTAACTTAAAAATTAATTAGATAGTTAAATTTCCTATCGAGTGATCCATAAAAATCTCTGGTTACCGTTATATTTCCTCATGAATCCTCGTTTCTTTCCTTTTTTTGTCTGCTTTCTTAGGAGGATTTCAGCCCAATGTTCAAGGAAGATTGTTTCAAGAAGATGTACCTAGCGGACTTTGTGTATTAAGAAATATTGCTGATATGGTTGGTGTACGTACACCTACAATAGATATGATGATTGAATGGCACCAAAAGTTTATGAATGTTGAATTCCTTAAAGACGGAAAACTTAACCCAGAAACAATAAGTCTAACAACAGCCCCAGCAAGGTATGGTATAACAACAGCAGATCAGCTTGTTGCTACTGCACTTAGAGGATGCAGTGCAGGTACACACTAAACAGCAACTGTTGCTGCTGCTGATGCTGCAGCAACAGTTGTTGCTGCTGTGGATGAAGCAGCAACACACATACTGATTGTTGTCGACAGCTAGCAGGAGCTACCTTTGTTGCTGTTGCTGCTGTTGCTGCTGCTGTTGAAGAAGCAGCATATTATACAGAGACTATTTCATCTTGACTGTTAGCAGGAGCAGCCGCTGCTGCTCCCGCTGCTGCAGCAGCTGCTGCTGCTGCAGTACTATTAGTATTTTCTTGCCTTGTTTGGCAAGGAAGTACACAAACTCGAAGGCAGCAACTATAGTAGTCAGTCTTATGTCTTATCTATGTCCAGTCTCTACAAGCTCTACACACCAGCAGCAGTAGCAGCAGCAGGAGCAGCAGCAGCAGCAGTAGCAGTCCCTCTATTCGCAACAAAGATACGTTTTAGATAATTAAAAGAAGAAAATAAATCAAATGAATATTTTTTGTTATAGAGGAGAAAATTCTTTGCATGCAGCTCAGCAGCTGCTGCTGACTTGCTGCTGCTGCTGCTGACCTGCTGCTGTTGCTGCTGTTGGTGTCTATTTGTTTTGTTGAGTTGGTTCCGTTGCTTTTGTTATTGGTGCGGATATTAATTGCTGCCTCTGCTTCTGCAGTTGCTGCAACTAGTGTCTCCTGCTGTTGCTGTTGCTGCTGCTGCTGCTGCAGCAACAACAACAGGAGCTCAACATTGGCTGCTTATCCGATGCAGAGGCGGAAGCAATCGTTGAATACTGCAAGGGAGCAAACAGAGGAACAGCAGCAGCGCATGCAATATACACCACAATAACCATTTAATATATATAAACAGAAGAACAAAAAAAAAAGGAATAAAATATATATAACATAAACTAAGTGTTATAGAACTAACAAAACACACAAAGACATAAACTATATAATTATAAATGCATGCATGCATGCACGCTTGCATGCATGCATGCATTTATATTTGTATACTAACCGGCATAAGTGCCGCTTCCGTTGGGTACCAAATTAAATGTTTGCGTAAACTTCATTGGCGGATTATCTTCAATTGCTAAATCCCCTGTAAGAAAAAAAAAAAAAGAAAAAGAAAGGAAAAAAAGGATTTATTTGCTGCTGCTGCTGCTGTTGCAGCTGCTGCTGATGCAGCTATTTAACACAAACAAAGAGATAAACAAATAATAACATCTACCCATAGAAGAGGAAACACCTCAAGCCCTAAGCCCTAAATCCTCTCAAACCCTAAACCCTAAACCCTCTCAAACCCTAAACCCTAAACCCTAAACAGTCGATGCTTACCGCATACAACAATAAGTACTCCTCCATTAGGTGTCGGTTGGCAATCACAAGTAACAAGTTGATGATTAACAACAGCAGGTAATTGACTTAATTTTTGTACAATTGCTGTTGCTCCTCTGAATTGTGTTCCTTCGTATGTTAATAAAGAATCCTCTGTATATAATTCACCTAAATTTGCCCTGCATGCATGCATGCATTCATGCATTCATGCACATGCATACATATACATATATATATATATATATATATAGATACATTTATGCATGCATGCAGCAGCAGATATAGATGCTGTAAGTGCTGCTGATTGCTGCAACAATAAGGTATTTCTTGCTGCTGTTGTATTGTTGCATGCATGCAAAAACTGAAGAAATACAAAAAAGGAAATAAAGAAAATAAAAAGGAAGAAATATAATAAAAGGAAAAAGGAATATATATATAATGCATAATAAAGGAAATAAAATAAATAATTAATAACACAGCAGCAACAACAACAGCAACAGCAACAGCAGCAGCAGCAGCAGCAGCAGCAGCAGCAGCAGCAGGAGTTACCTGTTGTTACGGAATGTCTCGTAATAAAGCTGAACAAATTGCGGGCCAATTGAATCAAAGTGGGGATTTAGTTGCAGCATTTTGAATACCTATAAAGAAGAAAAAAAAGAAAAAATAAATAAATAAATAAATAAATAAATAAATAATATTTAATTATAATAATTAATATATATAAAATATATATTAACAAAACATATATCATGTATACACGAGGGGGAAGCAGCATGTATAAAAGGAAGGAAATACACTATAAAGGAGAAGAATATGTATGCAAAAATAAAATAAAGAAAGGGAGAATAAATCCTCTTGTATATTGGATGCAATATATACAAGAAAAGCTGCATCGGTGTTGCTCTTGCTGCTGCTGTTGCTGCTGCTGTTGCTGTTGCTGCTGCTGCTATTCATGTTGTTACTGTATAGATGTAAGTTGGTTATAAACTCTCTCATGAAGATGAATGAAAGATCAGAGGTAAGAAGTTCCCCGTCATGCAATGAATAAGAAGAGAAGGCGGCATGTACAGCAGCAAAGAAAAGGGGAAAAAGGGGAGAAATACCTCTCCCCTTAGGAAACAAAGGAGAATAAAGAAATAAATGATGATTTAAATGTACTTAATTAACAAAATAATACAATTAAATTGTCCTTTCTTGATGAATTGCAACATGCAGAAAACAAGAAAAATTTGGGGTGTACGTACACCCGAAATATGACCTACCGATCGCGATACAGAAACCCTTTGTTGTTCTTAAAACTAAAAAAGGAAAAATAATATTATTTATATTTTTCTTCATATTTTTTTGAAGATTTCCTTGTGACCTTATTCAGCACAAGAAAGCCCCAACCCTCACACAGCAAAGTATCCGTTTTTATTTATATTTATACCCCCCTTTCTATGCAATAATAACAACAACACAGCCCCAAGAAAATAATTGCACATTTAATGGTATCTTCTAGTCTTTTTTCCCCTTTTTCATGGATAAAACCATTTTAATTCATTTAATTTAATTTATTTCCTTTATTTTGCATGCAATTATCCCTTATTAACCCTCTTAACACCCGCTTTCCCCCTCTTGACGACACCTCGTCACCACCACCGCAACAGTAAGAAGGTGTATTTATTTTCCTTCTTTATATCCTCTCTTTTACCTCTTCTTTCTTCCTTAAGGAATATTAAATATATATTTGAATATATATATTCAATATATATATTTAATTATATATATATTTAATATATATTCAATATATTCAACTTCTTCTTACCTTCTTTAGCTATCGCCGTCCTTCTGCCGTATTCGTCGCAGCAGCACCAACAACATGCACTGCACAGAAATTCCTACACAGACAGCAGCAGGAGCAGCAGCAACAGCAGCAGCAGCAGCTTCTGCTGCTGTTGATGCTGCTGCTGATGCCCTGTCTGCTGTGCAGCATTCATTTACTGCTGCTGCTGCTGCAGCAACAGCAGCAGCAGAGGAGCTGCCTACAGAATGGTAAGCAGCAGCGATTTCCCCATAAGATGTTACACAACAGACGAAGACAGCAGCAGCAGCATTACCTTCTTCTTTATGCTGCTGCTGCTGTTGCTGCTGCTGCTTTTGCTGCTGCTGCTGCTGCTGCTGCTGCAGGGGGGATATAGATGAGCTACGTCGTCGTTTTCCTGAGGATAGTCCTCTTATTATTGATTTAAATAATTTAAATAAAGTAAGTAAATTTATATAATATAAATAAATAAATAAATTAAATAAATTAATAAATTAAATAAATTAATAAATAAATATTTATTGTGTCTCTTTTATTATACACTGTTATCTTCTTTAGTACTACTTTTATAATTTAGGGTTTAGGGTTTAGGGTTTAGGGTTTAGGGTTTTTCTGTTGGTATCTTGCAGGAGAATTTGCCACTGCAAGAAGGAATCGTCTGCCGCTTTCTCTGCTTCGTTAAACAGGTTAGCAGCAGCAGGACCAGCAACATCAGCAGCAGCAACAGCAGCAGCAGCAGCAGCAGCAGCAGCAGCAGCAGCAGCAGGTTTATTGTGTCTGTGTGTTTTCTTTAGCCATTAAATTCGGAGTGTTTTGTTGGCGCGGTTTGTAACGAAGGGAAATGGGAATCCTCCAAATTCAGGTCTGCTGCTGCTGCTGCTGCTGCTGCTGCTGCTGCTGCTGTTGCTGCTGCTGTTGTTGGTTGTTGGCTGTTGCTGCTGTTGCTCTTTGTCGTTGTTGCTGCTGCTAATGCTGCTGCTATTGTTGCTGGTGATGATAATGCTGCGACGAGTGCTGCAATTGCTGTTGCTGCTGTTGCTGTTTAGTAATGCTGCTGCTGTTGCTATTGCGTTTGCTGCTGCATTGCTGCTGCTGCTGCTGCTGCTGCAGAGAGTTACTACCGGATTCTGCTGCTGCAGGCAGCAGATCTGTTCTATGGACTCGTCAGGCGTATCGTTGCTCCCTTATACCAGGTGGTGCTTCCTGGTGGCAGCAGCAGCAACAGCAGCAGCAGCAACAGCAGCAGCAGCAACAGCAGCAGCAGCAACAGCAGCAGCAGCAACAGCAGCAGCAGCAACAGCAGGAGTTGCTGTCTATAGGGGAATGTATAGTTTTATTTTATCCAACTAAAGGAGAAGAATTGCCGCGACTAAATGATGTTATACAAGTCTATGGTATATTTATTTATTTATTTATTTATTTATTATTTATTTATTTATTTGTTTTATTTCTTATCCTTTTTTTTTCTTTTCTTCTTTGTTGCCCTTATTTTGTCTTTTGTGTATTTTATCTCGTATCCTTTTCCTTTCATTTTATTCTCTTTCTTTCCGTCTGAGGGTTTAGGGTTTAGGGTTTAGGGTTTGGGCTTTAGGGTTTAGGGTTTAGGGTTTAGGGTTTTGGTTTCTCTTATTTTGTTGTTGTTGTTTGTTCATTTTGTTTTATTTTCTTTTCTTTATTCATTTATTTTATTTATTTTTTTTTTTATTTTTTTTTTTATTTATTTTTTTATTTATTTTTTTCTTTTTTCCTTTTTTGCAGGATTTTGTTATTCTGCATCTCCTTTAACTCTCTCCGACTTCGTGCCATCTTCTGCTGCTGCTGCTGCTGCTGCTGCTGCTGCTGATTCTCCTGCTGCTGCTGCTGATTCTGCTGCATGCAATTGTGGGGCTGTCCCTCAAAGCCCCAATGATATTTATACTATTCCTCGTTTGCATGCGTTTGCCTTCCGTCGTTTCTCTCATCTGCAGCCAGAGAGGCTTCTTCCTGCAGTACGTATTCCTGCTGTTGCTGCTGCTGTTGCTGCTGCTGCTCTTGTTGCCACAACTGCTGCTGCTGCTGCTGCAGCAATACAACAGATGCTGCTGCTGCAGCTGCTGCTGCCTCTATCTGTGTTGTGCTGCTGCAGCGGCCTCGTGAGTTTGTTTGGGCTGAGCAAAGACGACGGGCAATCGATTTCCTCACGAGGTGTGACGGCAGTCCAACCTGTAGACTTCTTGCTGCTGCTGCTGCTGCTGTTGCTGCTGCTGCTGCTGCTGTTGTTGCTGCTGCTGCTGTGTGTGCGTGTTGTTCAAGCTGCTGCTGCTGCTGCTGTGGAGGCTTGTGTGCAGCTGCTTTGGCGGGGATTCCTTAGCAGCAGAATACGCATTGCTTGCCTTATGCTCGCGCTGCTCGCAGCAGCAGCAGCAGCAGCAGCAGCAAGATGAGGAGGAGGAGCAGCAATTCGCGCATGTCTTCCATCGCCTTCGTGTTGCATTTATTAGACCAGAGAAACCTACGGTGCATAAACTGCAGCAGCAACGGCAGCAGCAACTGCAGCAGCAGCAGCAACAGCAACAACAGCAGCCTGGAGGTGGCTCTCATGCTGCACAGTCGCCTGCTGCCGCAGAAACAGCGAATACAGAAACAGCAGCAGCAGCAGCAGCAGGCAATGCAGCATCAGCAGCAACAGCAGATAAGGATGGCGATAGTTCCGTGGATCCTTGCGTCTGCCCTTTTATGTCCACCGCGAGCGACTTGCTGCTGCAGCAATGCAGAGAGTTGGTGAGGGTTTAGGGTTTAGGGTTTAGGGTTTAGCTGTTGTCTATTTTATTATATATATCCCTTTCCGTTGCTGCAGGCATTTAGGGCTGCTGCTGCTGCTATTGTTGCTGCTTGTCCTCTGCCTGCTGCTCTCTGTTTTGCATGCTGCACGCTGCTGCTAACAGCAGCAGAAGGGGCTCAGCGTTTTCTAGGGTTTAGGGTTTAGGGTTTAGAGTTTATGTGTATTAGGTACCTTGGGCTACTGGGGTGTCTGTACACCCAACGGTGCTGCAGCAGCAAAAGTTTGGCCCGCAGCTGCTGCTGTCTGACGGAGAACTAGAACAAGATTTTCTTTGTAGGATAAGAGCAACAATGCTGCTGCTGCTGCTGCTGTTGCTGCTGCTGCTGCTGCAGCAACCTTATCTATCGGCTGCACATAGAGAGTCTGTTGGTGTGTATAAACAATATAATTTAATGTTTCCTTCTCCATTGTTTGTTTTGCTGCTGCTGTTGCTGCTGCTACTGCTGCTGCTGTGCTGCAGCCCCTGCTATGCTGCAGCTGCCCCCCGGTGCTGTCATAGTGGTAGACGAGCCAAAGTTGTTAGAAGGAAGAGGGAAGCAGCAGCTCCTTCAAGCAGCAGCTGCTGCTCCTGCTGCTCCTGCTGCTGCTGCTGCAACAACAACAGCAGCAGCAGCAACAGGAGAAAAGTCTCAAGCATGTGGAGCTGAAGAAGAGAAGCAGCGCAAGGAGCAGCAGCAGAAACAGAAGCTGCTGCTGCAGAAGCAGCAGCAGCAGCAGCAAATGGAAAAAAATATCTGCGCGCTGCAGACACTGGTAAGGAGGAATTATTTATTTATTTATTTATTTATTATATATAATTTATTTATTTATTTATTTATTTATTTATTGTTTCTTTTTTTCTTTTGCTGCAGGTAACAGACGGTACAGTTGCTTATGATTTTGTTGCTGCAGTTAAGCAGCAACCCCTTGATTGTGTCTTGCTGCTGCAGACATACCGCAGCAGATTCTCTTTCTTTGCTGGATTTATTGAGGTACCCTTGCAGCATTCTCGTCCTCCTGCTGCT